GGTCCTGGGATCGAGCCCCGCATTGGGCTCCCTGCTATGCGGGAAGCCTGCTTCTCCCTCTCCCATTCACCCTGCTTGTGTTCCCTCTCTCGCTGTGTCTCTCTCTGTCAAATAAATAAATAAAATCTAAAAAAAAAAAAAAAAGAAAGAAAGAGACTTGAGGACTGAGGCGGGAGAAAGAGACTTGAGAATTTTCCTTTTGTATGATTTACACTTTTGTATCTGTTAGTGTTATAAGGAATTAAATCTTAGAATGGCTTTTTAAAAAAGATTTTATTTATTTATTAGAGAGAGAGGGGAGGGGGGGCGCAGAGGGAGAGAGAGAATCTGGAGCCGAAGCACTGAGCGTGGAGTCCGTCATGCAGCTGGATCCTGGGGCTTGATCCATGATCGCAGGATCTTGACCTGAGCTGAAATCAAGAGTGGGAAACTTAACTGACTGAGCCACTCAGGCGCCACTTAGAATAGCTTCTTATGTATAAAAGTTAAAGAATATAATATACCTTTATTTTAAATAAATCTGTAAGATAAGAAGTCTAACTTAAGACTTAGTGCTCATAAATCCTGGACCCCTCCAGCACTGTTAACCTAGCCATCCCAAATAATAGTTTTGATCATTTTTTGAGCCTCCTGTTAGGGTTCCTTTTTTTTTTTTAATTTAAACTCAATGAATTAATATATAATGTGTTATTAGTTTCAGAGGTAGAGTTCAGTGATTCATCAGTTTATATAACACCCAGTGCTCATTACATCCTGTGCCCTCCTTAATGCCCATCACCCAGTTACCCCCTCCCCCCAATCACCTCCCCTCCAGCAGCCCTCAGTTTGTTTCCAATGATTAAGAGTCTCCTCTGGAAAAAAGAAAAAAAAAGTCTCTTATGGTTTGTCTCCCTCTCTGATTTCATCTTGTTTTATTTTCCCCTCCCTTCTCCTATGCTCCTCTGTTTTATTTCTTAAATTCCACGAGTGAAATCATATGATAATTGTATTTCTCTAATTGACTTATTTTGCTTAGCATAATATCCTCTAGTTCCATCCATGTCATGCAAATGGCAAGATTTCATATTTTTTGATGGCTGAGTAATATTCCATTGTATATCTATACCACATCTTTTTTTGTTGTTGTTAGATTTTATTTTATTTATTTGAGAGAGAGCGCATAAGAAGGGGGTATGGTCAGAGGGAGAAGCAGACTCCCTGCTGAGCAGGGAGCCCCATGCGGGACTTGATTCAGGGACTCTGGGATCATGACCTGAGCCAAAGGCATTCGCTTAACCAACTGAGCCACCCAGGCACCCTACGCCACCTCTTTTTTATCCATTCATCTGTTGATGGACATCTGGGCTCTTTCCATAGTTTGGCTACTGTGGACATTGCTGCTATAAACATTGGGGTGCAGGTGCCCCTTCAGATCACTACCTTTGTATCTTTGGGGTAAATACCTAGTGGTGCAATTGCTGGGTCGTAGGGTAGCTCTATTTTCAACTTTTTGAGGAACCTCCATACTGTTTTCCAGAGTGGCTGTACCAGCTTGCATTCCCACCAACAGTGTAGAAGGGTTCCCCTTTCTCTGCATCCTCGCCAACATTTGTCGTTTCCTGACTTGTTAATTTTAGCCATTTGACTGGTATGAAGTGGTTTCTCGTTGTGGTTTTGATTTGTATTTCCCTGATGCCGAGTGATGTTGAGCATTTTTTCATATGTCTGTTGGCCATTTGGAGAAATGTCTGTTCATGTTTTCTGCCCATTTCTTGATTGGATTATTTGTTCTTCAGGAGGGTTTCTTAATATTAAAGCAAGCAATTGAAAAAAAATAAAACAAGCCATTGCAAGTGCATATTTTCTTTGCTATGTTTGTTCTTGCAGTAAGTCTTGAGGCTCCACATTTTTGGATGTTTGAGTGCTGAGAGCTTAAGCCTCATCCTGCCCTCTGCCCCTTGTGTTCCCTGCTAGGTGCGCTAAAGAAAAAGCCTGGGTAGTCTCTCTAGAGCTGGTAGGAGATTCCAACCCGAAAAGCCCCTGCCTGTGTTTAGAATTCTTGCCCTTTCTCCACTCCCCAACCCCACTGAAAACCCAGGCCAGGGGCCGCGTGGCTGGCTCAGTTGGTTGAGCATCTGCCTTTGGCTCAGGTCATGATCCCAGGGCCCCGCTCATGGGGAGCCTGCTTCTCCCTCTGCCCCCTCCTCCTGATTGTGCTCTCCCTTTCTCTGACAAGAAAAAAAAAAAAAAAAAAAAGACTTACAGCATACTGAAGGCCTCACTGTTGTCAAACTAAGGTTGTTTTTCCCTCTAGTAAGGCATTAACATTAGGACAGTTGGGAGCTTCCTGGAGGAATGTTATAATCTGCCTACCTCAAGCATTTGTCAATGGGTTGCAGGTTATAAGGACATTTAATTTTATCTACATTTCTTTATGCCTTTGTTTCCCACATCAAAATGAGTAAATTGAAGATCTAACTGGCTTTATTAAATGATTCATGACTGGCAGCATCCCAACTAGCAAGTAGAGGGGAGTTCTGCTGAGTAAAATGAAAGTTGTTAAAGGCAAAGAAAGGAATTAATTAGCAAGGAATGCATTGTTTAGACAAGGCCACCTTCCTAAGGGGAGGACAAGGGGGTGTATCAATGAACTTCCTAGTACTGCCCAGGAAATTCCATGTTGACTGATTAAAAGGTTATATGGGGGTTGGGGGTTGAAACTGCATGTAAGTTGGGTGTTAAGTTTTAGTTTATTGACTTGGGGCCTTAACCTATGTAATTACATCAGGGGCCTGTGGTTTCTTTTTAGCTGTGTTTGTGATAGGGCTTAAGATCAGATGAGGGAGGGCGCCTGGGTGGCTTAGTTGGTTAAGCAACTGCCTTCGGCTCAGGTCATGATCCTGGAGTCCCTGGATCGAGTCCCGCATCAGGCTCCCTGCTCGGCAGGGAGTCTGCTTCTCCCTCTGACCCTCCCCCGTCTCATGTGCTTGCTCTCTCTCATTCTCTCTCTGTCAAATAATAAATAAAATCTTTAAAAAAAAAAAAAAGATCAGATGAGGGAAACAAAGGCAAAAGAAAAATTATTAAATTTCCTCACTGGGTGGCTCAGTCGTTAAGTGACTGCCTTCAGCTCAGGTCCTTATCCCAGGGTCCTGGGATTGAGCCCCGCATTGGGCTCCCTGCTCTGCGGGAAGCCTGCTTCTCCCTCTCCCACTCCCCCTGTTTGTGTTCCCTCTCTCACTGTGTCTCTCTGTCAAATAAATAAATAAAATCTTAAAAAAAAAAAAATTTCCTTTGGAAGGTGCCTGGGTGGCTCAGTCGGGTAAGTGTCTGCCTTCAGCTCAGGTCATGATCCCAGGGTCCTGGAATCAATCCCACATCGGGCTCCCTGCTCAGCAGATAGTCTGCTCCTCCCTCTCCCTCTGCCCCTTCCCTGGCTTGTGCTCTCTTTCCCTCATTCTCTCTCAAATAATAAATATAAAACCTTTATTTTTATTTATTTATTTATTTTTTAAGATTTTATTTATTTGACAGCGAGAGACACAGCGAGAGAGGGAACACAAGCAGGGGGAGTGGGAGAGGGAGAAGCAGGCTTCCCGCTGAGCAGGGAGCCTGATGCGGGGCTCGATCCCAGGACCCCAGGATCACGACCTGGGCTGAAGGCAGATGTTTAACGACTGAGCCACCCAGGTGCCCCAATAAATATAAAATCTTAAAAAAGAAATTCCTTTGGAAACTTCATCTCTACCTCCCAAGATACGTGCTGGCAATCAACCCCCAAGCATATGACCCATGATTGATATATGTATCTGAAGGGTCTCATGACTAAGGGTTTATTAGACAGTAATAAATGACCTTTTCCTAACAATAGCTAGCCCCCTTGATATAGTTTTGGAATGTAGGTGAGGTTTGGTGGGGTGAGGTCTGAAGGCCAAGAAAGAATTCTTGAGAAGTCTTTGGTGCAAAATGGTGGTTTTATTTAAAGCATGGGGACAGGACCCTTGGGCAGAGCTGCTGACCCTGGGTTGTGAGGGGGTGGCTGATTATATACTTGGGAGTTGGGGGTAGGGGAAAAGGGAGGTTTTCCAAAGAACTTTCATATGCTAAAGAGGACCTACAAGACACTGGAGGCCTTGCCACTGTCAAGTTAAGGTTGTTTTTCCCTCTAGTAAGGCATTAACATTAAGACAGTTGGGAGTTTCCTGGAGGAATGTCACACATATCCCACCCAGGAGGTGGGGGGAGGAGGGAGGTGGAGCAGGGGTGGGGTGTCAGCCTGTGCTTTGTCCTCAGCTAGCCTTCTGCTCTCTTAGCACCCTCAACTCAAGGTCCTGGAAACCTTACTTCCAAAATTTCTTGGAGGCTTATGCTATCCCTAACCCCCTCCCAACTTGAAAGTACGAAACGTGCCACTCCTCAACACCCCAGTGTGGCTCTTTCTGTCCACCGGGCCTATCCCCTTTTTTGCAACAAAGACGTCTCAAGGATTCTTTCTTGGCTGTGGGCTCTGGACCCCAACATCTTTCCCACATCAAGATCCAGTCTCTTAGTATCTCAAATCATGATGTTGTGGTCTTTAAATATAGACAATCTTATTAGTCACTTATATCTCAAGGGGGGGAATTTCCAGGTGCTTCCCACATATACATGATGATTTATTATTTTTCTTATATCAGTGAAAATGGGAATATACCTAAGAATTCAGTTGCTTTAGGGATATTATAGTCGTTTACATTTCAAAGTTCTCTAGGGACAGGTAAAAGCTGATCTAAAGTAAATTTCCTCCCACTGTAAAATGTGCATTTAATGAGGGCGCCTGGGTGGCTCAGTCGGTTGAGCGACTGCCTTCGGCTCAGGTCATGATCCCAGGGTCCTGGGATCGAGTCCCACATCGGGACTTCTCCCTCTCCCACTCTCCCTGCTTGTGTTCCCTCTCTCGCTGTGTCTCTCTCTGTCAAATAAATAAATAAAATCTTTAAAAAAAAAATGTGCATTTAATGAAACCTGCTCACTGGGGCATCAGGCTGGCTCAGTGGGTAGAGCATGCGACTCGATCTCGCAGTTGTGAGTTTAAGCCCCACGTTGGGCCCACGTGGAGCCTACTTAAATAAAGTAAACCTGATCATTTAATGAACACATCCCACGATTGTGGTTAGACTTACAGTATGGGAATGTGGTGGTGTTGGAGTCACTGCCAATTCAGAAAAAGTTCTGTTTAAATGCAAATGTGCCAGGTGGCCACAGCTTCCCCCCCCACCCAAGCTGATTGAAAGGAACCCCGCAGTTTTCTTGCCCTGCTGTCACTCAGATGTGAGGAGGTGTGGCCTCGTGAACTGTCCAATCAGGAGCTCCGTTGGGTCAGCGGGGCGGGCCCACGCGGTGCAACTCTCGACGAGGTCGCTACCGGCTTAGGGCTGGCGTTTGGGTTCACTTCTTGTCCCCAGCCCTTTAACGCTCCTTGGGTCTCTGCTAGCAGCTACCTCTGTCGCTCTGGGATCTTCACTGGTCGTGGGAGTCCTGGGAAGGACGTGGGGCACACAGAAAATGGAGAAATGGTGAGTGTGCTTCCTCGGGGTGCAGAGACAGGGCGGAGGGGCGGGTTGGAACCCACCGAACCGGCTGTGGCGGGACCCCCGCGGTCATTTCCGGAGACTACGGACCCCAGTCCCCCCCCGCCCGCCCCCGCGCTGCGCAGCCTGGGGACTGGGATGCGAGCCAGGACCCTGGCGCCCTGTCCCGTCACTGCGTGCGGCGTGACCACGGGGAGGGCAGTCAGGGGACAATCCTGACTTGGTCTCCGGGGTTCATGACTGGGAGGTTCTGTGGTCTGTGGGGTTCCCTCCTTTCTCCTCAGGGGGATGCGTTTTCCAAATGTTTGGTGAGCAGGGTCTGAAACCACGACCCTGTCTCCCAGTCTAGTTCTTCCCAGGGCTAGCAGTAAATCCCCAAATTCCCAGATGTCTCCCCAGCTTCTCAGACTCCAGTTTCCCCCTCTCAGATTCACAGCATCATCAACTATTGGTCCTACAAGTGGGGCTGTTGTGGAAACCCCACGTTCTGCTGCCAGTACCCAAGAGAGGAGATTGGAAAGGAATTTGAGCTTTATTCAGGAGGTTTGGAGGTTTCTGTCTGGGCCCAGGGATTTTTAAAGGCGTTTAGGGCAGCTAAGCGGTAAAGGGAATGCAGTGGTCCCTAATATTTCTTAATTAGGTGCAGAAGTGATAGTACCAGCTACAGATGTCTCAGTGCTTGGAGGGGGTCTGGTTCCTTAGCGCAGGGGAGGGAGGGGTTGTGCAAGGGGGTCTGGTTTCTCTCTTCCCTGCCCTGCGGGAGTGCTCTGTTCTTTCTAGGAACTAAGGCAGGATCTATGGATATCCAAAGAAAGATTAATCATGCCGGCCAATGAATCACCCGGGGAAGGGCATTTGCTAAAGATTAAAGACTATTAGGTTGGTCAGAGGGGCTGCGGCAGCCTCAGGGCATTTCAAACAGTCCCAACTCTTCCTTCCTCCCCTCCATTTGAGAGAGAGAGAGAGAGAGCGCGCATGAGTGGGAGGGTGGTGCTGGAGAGGGAGAGGGAGCAGGGAGCCGGGATGCAGGGGATGCGGGGCTCATCCAAGAACCCTGGGATCATGACCTGAGCTGAAGGCAGACGCTTAACTGACTGAGCCACTCAGGTGTCCTGGAACCTACCTGTATTTTTTTTTTAAGATTTTATTTATTTATTTGAGAGAGAGAGAATGAGAGACAGAGAGCATGAGAGGGAAGAGGGCAGAGGGAGAAGCAGACCCCCTGCTGAGCAGGGAGCCCGATGCGGGACTTGATCCAGGGACTCCAGGATCATGACCTGAGCCGAAGGCAGTCGCTTAACCAACTGAGCCACCCAGGCGCCCGGAACCTACCTGTATTTAGAGTGAAGTTGTGAGTGAGGCTGGGGTTGCCCCAGCATTAGGTGGGGTATTGGGGTGCACAAGGATGATTATACTTTGTGAATGAGGTGAATCCATTGCATGGTCGCTTTAAAGAGCAGGGTTTGGGTTTTCTTTTTTTTTTTTTTTTTTAAGATTTATTTATTTATTTGAGAGAGAGAGAGAGAGCGTGCATGAGAGCATAGCTGGAGGGAGGGAGAATCTCAAGTCGACTCCACACTGAGCACAGAACCTGACGCAGGGCTCCATCCCAGGACCCTGAGATCATGAACCATTATTAACTAATTTAATTGAAGTATTGGAAACCATTGTGAGAAATCTATTTAGGAAGGAGTGATTAGCCCCAGGCTTCTCCTTTATTTGCTCTGTTCTTAAACCCAGGAAGAAGGAATAGTGCCTCACTATGGAAAGTCTGAGGTCTGTCCTTGCAAAACAAAACCACAAGAAACTGGATCAAAGCAGACAGGCCCAAGATGGCTGACAGAGTAGGCCAGAGTTCACCACATTATTCCTTCATTGTACTCCATGACCATGCTCCCTAAGGGTGCCATGACAGGAAACCTCTGACCATAAGGAAGAAAATGTGTAACCCACATTCCTGGAAGAGACCACCCAGCTTTCAAGGAAATGCCCGCCAAAGTAATGAATGTTCCACCACCTTGTTAACAAGTGTCAAAAGATAGAATCCGAAACCCCAGTGGACACAGCTCTCCTTGAGCTCACCTGCTGAGAGTATACCTTTATTTTAAATAACTTTCCTGCTTGTAGTGCTCTTAGCTGTGTTGGATCTGTGCTTGAATTCTTTCTCATGACGAGACTAAGAGCCTCTGGCAACATCTTTTGGATGGGCTGGGTCTAGGCCTCAGGGCCTAAGGTCTCCCCAGTCTACCTGGCAACCTTCCCAGCCCCTGGTATGCTGTCAGTTACTCCATCCAGTCAGCAACTGGTACACATCACAGATTTGGCCAAGTCTGTTCTGTTCAGTGCCTATTTCCACATACTCTTGAATGTGTCAGGCCTTGCTCTCTGAGGTGACTCTAGACACCTTTACCTGGTTGCCCTCAGGGAGCCTCAGCAGCCTTGCCATCCACAGTCTCTGTGGGCAAGATCTGAACTGCATCCACCTTGCTCCAAGGAGCACAGATAGGGCCTTACTAACGGCATCGTTCTCTGAGGACATTTGCTTCATACTCATTCAGAGCATACAAGTAGTGAAGAAGGAGCTCTCATAAAGTGGATGGGCCATTGACCCACATAGGCTGTGAGGCCTTAATCCCTTGGTTAAGTTTCTGAAAGACAGCTGCTCCTTCCCTGACCCTATGAGGAAGTAGGTGTAATCCCTTTCAGCAAAGGCAACATCTGCTAGGTTCCTTGGTGTTCGGGAGGCAACGTATTCCGTGTTAACAAATTTTGCTTGGGGCCATTTAGGCTGTTAATTGCAAATTGGCCCTTCTTGAGGTCACCCCTATCACAGAAGGCTCTAGAATGTGTTTGCATTGCTCTACAGCAGGCACTGGTGTTACTGTCCTCGGGGTCTCCTTCAGTATAGAGGCTTCAGGATTTCTTCTCCCCCCTCCCCCTGTTTGTGCTCTCTCTCAAATCTTTTTTTTTTTTTTTTTTTAAGATTTTGACAGCGAGAGAGGGAACACAAGCAGGGGAGTGGGAGAGGGAGAAGCAGTCTTCCTGCTGAGCAGAGAGCCCGATGTGAGGCTCAATCCCAGGAACCTGAGATCATGACCTGAGCCGAAGGCAGACGCTTAACGACTGAGCCACCCAGGCACCCCTCAAAATCTTTAAAATAAAATTGCATATATATTGTGTTTACTGAGCCTCTTTATTTGGGAGAGAGAGGGAGGGGGGGAGTACAAGCTGGCGGGGGTGGGTGTTGGGGAGTAGGCAGAGGGAGAAGCAGACTCCCCACTGAACAGGGAGCCAGGACCCTGGAATCATGACCTGAGCGGAAGGCAGACGCTTAACTGACTGAGCCACCCAGGCGCCCCATACTGAGCCTCTTTCTTAAATAAAGCATATTGTTGCAATGTGAATTTCTACTAATTACTCTCAGATAGGAATTTAAGGTGAGAGAATTCGAAGTTGCCTTTCAACAATAGTACCTAAGATTATAGGTAGTGTTTTTTCCTAAATCAGTTAATATTTTAAAATCTTTAAAAAAAAGGAAACAAGTTTTGGTTGGTAAGGACATGAAAACAACACTTGTACTCTGCCAAAGGGAGTATATATTGGTATAGCCATTGGGGCAAACAGTATGGAGTTTCCTCCAAAAACTGAAAATAGAGCCAACCATATGGTCCAGCAAACCATGTTCTGGTTATATATCCAGAAGATAGGAGTTCAGTACCTGTAAGAGATGTCTGCATTTCCATGTTTATTACAACATTCAGAGTAGCCAAGTTACGGACACAACCTAAGTGTCTCTCGACACATGAATGGATAATGAAATTGTCGTATGTGTAACAATATTCAGCCTTAGCAAAGAAGGAGATCCTGCCATTTGACAACATGAATGAATTTGTAGGACATCATGCAAAGTGAAATGCATGATCTCACTTTTTTTTTTTTTTTAATATTTTATTTATTTATTTGAGAGAGAATGAGACAGAGCATGAGAGGGGGGAGGATCAGAGGGAGAAGCAGACTCCCCGCCGAGCAGGGAGCCCGATGCGGGACTCGATCCCGGGACTCCAGGATCATGACCTGAGCCGAAGGCAGTCGCCCAACCAACTGAGCCACCCAGGCGCCCCCTCACTTTTTTTTTTTTTAAGATTTATTTATTTGAAAGAGAAAGAAAGAGAGAGCACATGAGGGGGGGAGGGTCAGAGGGAGAAGCAGACTCCCTGCTGAGCAGGGAGCCAGATGTGGGACTCGATCCAGGGACTCCAGGATCATGACCTGAGCCAAGGCAGTCGCTTAACCAACTGAGCCACCCAGACGCCCCGCATGATCTCACTTCTATGTGGAATCTAAAAAGTCATATAGAAGCAGAGAGTAGGGGTCACCAGGGTGGCTCAGTCAGTTGAGCCTCAGACTCTTCATTTTGGCTCAGGCGTTGATCTCAGGGTTGTGAGTTCCAACCCTACATTGGGCTCCATGCAGGGCATGGAGCCTACTTGAAAAAAAAGTAGAACCGTGGTTGTCAGGTGATGGTAGATGGGGGAAATGGGGGAGTTGTTGGCCAAATTGTATAAGGTTGCAGTTTTATAGGATGAACAAATCTATAGAGATTTAATGTATAACATAACTATATTTAAAAATACTGTATTAGATACTTCTAATTTTTTAAAAAAGATTTTATTGATTTATTTGACAGAGGGAGAGTACGAACAGGGAGAGAAGCAGGCAGAGGGAGAGGGAGAAGCAGATTCCCCACTGAGCAGGGAGCCCTATGTGGGGCTTGATCCTAGGACCCCGGGATCATGACCTGAGCTGAAGGCAGCTGCTTAACCGAGTGAGCCACTCAGGCATCCCCCAGCTTACTTTTGGAGGGCTTTTTTTTTTTCCCCCTAGGAATAACAGGACTTCACCATTTCTCATCTTATCTCCAGCTACCCATTATATGAGGTTGTATTGTACATAAGTATGCTTGAGAAGTAGCAGCATGCTTTTTG